AAATCCCGCAAATTTTGGGATAAATCCCGCAAACTTTGGGATAAATCCCGCAAATTTTGGGGTAAATCCCGCAAATTTTGGGATAAATCCCGCAAACTTTGGGGTAAATCCCGCAAATTTTGGGATAAATCCCGCAAATTTTGGGGAAAATCCCGCAAATTTTGGGGAAAATCCCGCAAATTTTGGGGTAAATCCCGCAAATTTTGGGATAAATCCCGCAAATTTTGGGGTAAATCCCGCCAATTTTGGGATAAATCCCGCAAATTTTGGGGTAAATCCCGCAAATTTTGGGGTAAATCCCGCAAATTTTGGGGTAAATCCCGCCTTCCCCGCTCCTGGATTTAACGGGATTTTTGGGAATTCTGTGGGAATTTTGGGAATTCTGCGGGAAAAGTCGTCGATTTTTGGCGATTTTTCGGGAAAAGCTGTGGATTTTTTTGGGAATTCTGCGGGAATTTTGGGAGTTCTGCGGGAAAAATCGTGGATTTTTAGGAATTTTGCGGGGAAAATCGTGATTTTTAGGCGGGATTCTGCGGGAAAAGCCATGGATTTTGGGGGGAATTTTGAGGGAAAAATCGTGGATTTTGGGGTATTCTGGGGGGAAAGAGCAATTTCTATCAAATTTCGCTTTTCTCCTGATAAAATAAATCAAATTAAATTAAAAAAAACACCCGAAGCGCCTCTCGCCCTAAAAAAACCCCGAATTCCCCTCATTTTGGGGTTTTAATCCCCTGTCGGGACTAAAATCGGATTTTTACAGCTCAAACCCCTCGATTTTGGTAATTCCCATCCAATCACAGACACGGGCGCGCTTTATAAATTATATTGTAATATAAATTTATATAGAGATATGAAATTAAATATAAAATGATATAAATATAAAATTAAAATTATATAAATATAAAATAAAATGATATAAATATAAAATTTAAATTATGTAAATATAAAATTAAAATTACATAAATATAAATTTAAAATTATTACATAAATATAAAATTAAATATAAAATTATATAAATATAGAATTAAAATTACATCAATATAAAATTAAATACAAAATTAGATTTATATCCATTTTAGACGCCGATGAAAATCCATCTTTTTCCCATTTTTTTCCCGCGGATTTTACGAGCCCCACGTGCGCCCGTGAACTCTCCCCGCACCTCGGAGCGCCCCCGTTATTCCCCTTTTTAACCCCAAATAATTTTTCAAAGCCTCTCGGTGGCCTTGGGGAGGGCGAGAAACCCGAGCGTGACCCCGATTTGGGTGAATTCATCTCGGGCTGAACTTTGGATGAACCGGGCAGGGAAAGGACGAGCGGGAGGAGCCAAAACCCGCACGGAGCTCCGAGATCGGAGAGAAAAACGGGACACGGAGCTCCGAGATCCGAGAGAAAAACGGGACGGAGCTCCGAGATCCGAGTGAAAAACGGGACGGAGCTCCGAGATCCGAGTGAAAAACGGGACGGAGCTCCGAGATAGGAGAGAAAAACGGGACGGAGCTCCGAGTTCGGGGCCAAAATCGGGACGGAGCTCCGCGTTCGGGGCTAAAATCGGGACGGAGCTCCGTGTTCGGAGCCAAAAACGGGACGGAGCTCCGAGATCGGAGCGAAAAACGGGACGGAGCTCCGCGTTCGGGGCCAAAATTGACATGGAGCTCCGAGTTCGGAGCCAAAATTGATATGGAGCTCCGAGTTCGGGGCCAAAATTGACACGGAGCTCCGAGTTCGGGGCCAAAATTGACACGGAGCTCCGAGTTCAGGGCCAAAAATTGACACGGAGCTCCGCGTTCGGGGCTAAAATCGGGACGGAGCTCCGAGTTCGGGGCCAAAATTGACACGGAGCTCCACGTTAGGGGCCAAAATCGCGACGGAGCTCCGAGTTCGGGGCCAAAATTGACACGGAGCTCCGGGTTCGGGGCCAAAATTGACACGGAGCTCCACGTTTGGGGCCAAAATCGGGACGGAGCTCCGCGTTTGGGGCAGCCGGAGCCGCCGGAGGAGCGGCCGAGGCCTCCCGGAAATGTCCGGGAATTGTCGGGAATGGCCGGAAATATCCGGGAATGGCCGGGAGTGTCCGGAAGTATCCGGGAATGGCCGGAAATATCCGGGAGTGTCCGGAAGTGTCC